GGTTATTCACCAAAAATATCTTTAATTAAAGAAGGGATTTAACGTTGTATATAATTTTTCTTTTTTTTTAGAAAGAAAACGTTCTACATAGTAGTTTGAGTGTTGTTTGTTTTGGTTTTCTTAAAGAGTAAACCGCCGGCCAGATCTCCCAAGCCTTGAATTTTGGTTTTCTTAAGAAATGTTTAACTAAAACCTCCAAACGTTTATCAAGAGGCATGTCTTTTGCACTTTGTACAGTCATAGAAAAGCTGCTCAAGTCTCCTAGCAGACCTCTGGATTTCACATTCTCACTGAACGTTCCCCGGTATCTCCCATATATCATCAATGGACTTCCAGACGTTAGATCAGGAATATCCGAAGGGTGTACCTAATTAGTAGATGACAGAATACTTTCAGTTTCCAGATATCAACTTCACATAATCGACGAGGACAAAAAATGTTTTCCAGAAAAGATAAGCAAGTAATCTTAGCATAGAGGCACACCTCAACTTCATCTAGAATCTGCAGGGGCTCCATAGTTAGATTTGCAAGAACTGTGGATAAAGCCCTTGTAAACAATTTGTCTATTCGTTCCTCGATGTGATCTATACATCAGATAAATAAAAAATGTTTGAGAAACTACATTACATATAGATTACAGAGAGTACAACTTTTTTCTGTAATTCACCTGACGGGGTCAAAGTTTTACCTGTATTATAAGCTAACTCATGCTGGCCCCTGGATAGATTTGCAAGCATTTGCAGGAAGTAGTGATTACAGAATATACCTGAAATATTTAGAGTCCACATATGAAAAGGTAAATAAAAGATAATCCCGGTCATTTTACATCAAAACCTTGGGAAAAAAGTTTACTAAACCAATAGTGTGTATCCGAGGACACACTGATCCAGCACTAGCAAGACGTTTCTTCATTACATCACAAATGTGTCTCTCATCTTCAACAGACCCATCTGTTAAGAAGAAGATCATCGGAATAGAGTCACGAGTATTGGAGAGCATTTCCACAGCCTGAGAACATTTAACCAAGGTAGCTTAGTTAATGTCATGACTACATCAGAGGGCTACCATTTCAAAATAAGGCAAGCTTTTAAAGCTACAAGTGAACGGCGGAAAGACCTTTTCTAGTAGAGGGAGCATATTTGTACCATCTGCAACGACAAAGTTCTTGTTCATCCACTTAATGCCTCTTTCAACAGCATCTGAAGTAACCAACTCCATGGATGTCGAAAACAGAGAAGTATCATCACTGAAAGTGATGATGTTAAAGGAAACTCCAGGATTTAGCTTAGCTAGAGGTGTGCCTCTATGCTAAGATTACTTGCTTATCTTTTCTGGAAAACCTTTTTTGTCCTCGTCGATTATATGAAGTTGATGTCTGGAAACTGAAAGTATTCTGTCATCTACTAATTAGGTACACCCTTCGGATATTCCTGATCTGACGTCTGGAAGTCCATTGATGATATATGGGAGATACCGGGGAAAGTTCCGTGAGAATGTGAAATCCAGAGGTCTGCTAGGAGACTTGAACAGCTTTTCTATGACTGTACAAAGTGCAAAAGACATGCCTCTTGATAAACGTTTGGAGGTTTTAGTTAAACATTTCTTAAGAAAACCAAAATTCAAGGCTTGGGAGATCTGGCCGGCGGTTTACTCTTTAAGAAAACCAAAAAAAACAACACTCAAACTACTATGTAGAACGTTTTCTTTCTAAAAAAAAAGAAAAATTATATACAACGTTAAATCCCTTCTTTAATTAAAGATATTTTTGGTGAATAACC